AGGCGAAGTCCGGGCGGGCGGGCGGCCCCCGCTCCTCTGGCGAGGCGGCGCCTGCCGCGGGGCGGGCCAGGGAAGGGTTCGAGGACGGGGCAGCGAGACGTGCCGAACTCGCGCGGCGGGACGCCGGGAGCTGGAAACGGGCCCTGCGTGGCGAGGGGCGGAAAGGCGGCTTCGGTTGGCCTGGTTCGGGGCTGCCCTTTGCAGCTGCGTTGCGTGAAAGCGGGCGATGCGGGCCCGGAGGACACAGTTCGGGGTGTGGGTGGCCCGGTTACTTAGGACGTGACGGGACGCGGCTTTTAAGAACCGCTCTGTTAGACGTGCCGTACTCAGAACGGGGAATAGATGCAAATCCAGGTCGCGTCCAAAAATACCTTCGTGGCTTTCACCGCAAGAAGCGTATTGCGGAAGAGAAGTGATAACGAAACATACGTGGTTCACTTACGGTGACATATTAGAGTCTCCGCAGGGAGAATTCAAAATGAACTTAAGAGAAGATTTGACGTCAGAAGGATATGCATGTCAACGGTTTTCCTACGTACAATCATTAGAAAGATTTAAAGTGGACAAAAGGACTTTTGGTTTTGAACGGCATAAGACTGAATTTGAAACAACTATGTACAAATGATGCACATGTTAAAATGCATAAACTTTTATTGAAATGTGAAACAGAAGAACAAATGAAAGAATGCATGATAAATTGGGCTAAAATTTTGGTTATAACATACAAATGGAACAATGGGAGAACATGTAACTGAAAGGCCTGCAATTTACTTTATGTTAACATCTTTACCATCTCTTATCTTAAAGAGAACTGTTATAAAAGGATGCATTGTTGATGTCTGTCACCGGAAAAATTGTCTAGAGGGTATAAAGGTACTTTGAATGTATGCGGGAAACGCGAACAAGAGGGGACTTTTTATCATGCTTGGTGGGCATGTAAAAAAGCTAAAAGGTTTTGGACTCAAATACGTAAATTCAGAATTAATATACAATTGAAGCCAGAGATGTTTCTTTTGGGACTGATTAACAAAAAGTTGGAAAAAACTCATGGAACTTTGTTTTTATATATGACACGCACAATGGTGGAAGGATTCAGTGTTACCCACAGTGGAAGAGTGGATGGTGAAGACAAGACGATGGAGCTGGCCGAGATGGCTAAATTGACAGCCTTGATTAGAGAAAGGACACTGATTAATGCCAATTGGAACCCCTTTTTGGACTTTTAGTGTGAAACAGAAAAAAAATGAACTTATGATATATGGATTTGATGATTAGGAAAAATAGTAGATGACAGAAAAAATGAAAGCTATGTTGTAACCATAGGGTAAGAGTTCAGTTTAATTTTCTACTTATAACTCTGGTAAAAGAAAATCAGAAGCAATTTCTTTATATTTTCCCTCTTTTTTCCCCTGCACTTTTGGCTTTCTTCTTTCTTTCCTTTTTCTTTTTCCCTCACCTTAAATATTGGTTTCTGTTAGTCTTCATCTTTCTTGCTCAAAAAGTGAATAAAGCTACTGTAAAAAAAAGGAACGGGGCAGCATCCATTCGGCTGGGGCGGTGCTCCATCTGGGGAGCCACGCAAGAGGAGGACTCCTCCGGAAGCGGGCTGTGTTTGAATCAAAGCACGGGAGACTGGGACGGGAGGAAGGGGTCTTTCGTGGGACAGCTGCACCCAGCAGGACAGTCGGCTGCGGAATCAGAGCAAGGGCCAACTGACGCCAGGCCCGGAAGTTGCTTGGAGCACAGGCTGGGCAGGGAACGAGCCGTCCGGACCATTTTTCTCTACGCCCAAGGCGCCTCTTAACAGGACGCTTGCAACTTGCCATCCGTGGAATGCCTCCCGGAGAACTGGCCCGCCCGGCACAGCCGGAGAACTGAACGGCAAGGCTCTTGCCGGGCCCAGACTGGGCCGACGAGGGCAGTCTTGAAGCGCCCCCAAGGCCGCCTCCAAGGGCCCCCGGGCTGGGGAGAAGCTGTTGCCAGATCAGCTCCCCTCAGGAAGCAGGTGGTCCAAGGTGGCCCCCGCCCCAGGTGGCAGCAGAGCAGGGACAGCGGGGGGGAGATGCCAATCCCCACCAGGCCCCAGGAAGCAGCCTGCAGCCCGGGGCGCTCCGGCGGAGAGGCAGTGTCGGCCTGTTCTGGTGTCTGCAGCTAGTCCTGTGGAGCAGGAAGAGATGGACAAAGCTGGCCACTGTCATGGCGGCTGCTCGGGGCGGCCTTCGAAACCTGAACTGTGCAAATGGTTCGGAGGAGGAGATGATGCTACCTCCCTGTCCGGGGTGGGGGGAGAAGTCATGTGCTGCTGGCAGCGCTGTTGTGGGCAGTGGCACAGAGCTCATCCCTCCAGTGTGAAAGACTCCCTCCGCAGAGCAATATGGCACTAGCCAGCTGTTAGCGACGCATCCCCCAAGAGTAATGGAGGTAGGAATCCTCTGTTTCCTGGCTGCTGCTGCTGCCCCCCACCCCGGGCACAGAAAGTGAGGGAGAAGAGCTGGCTCTCTCTGGGCACATGGGGGGTGGCCGTGGCTGTGGCAAAGGCCAGGGCTACCCCTGCCCCTCCCAGCAAGAGCGCAACCCTCCCACACCCGCTCTTACCCACTCCTCCTCATCGACGCCCTCGAAGGAGTCCTGCGGGAGGGGGTCATCTCGGTTCCCCAGCTTGGCCACCATGGCGTTGAGCAGCTGCAGAGAGAAGGGGTTAGGGGGAGCCTTCTTCACCCCGGAAGGCAGAAGGGCCACCCCCTCCTCTAGCGTGAAGAGAACCGGGAGGGGGGTGAAGGCTCACCTCCTCTTTCTTCTGTTCATCCGACTTCTCTTCCAGGTAGGCAGAGGATGGCACGTATTTCCGGCTGGGGGCCTCCTTGGGTGCTTGGCTCACTGGGGGGGGGGGGGAGGGTCCCACCCCCGGGGGGGAAGAGCCCCCCCCCCCCCCC